CAAGAATCATGAATAAAATGAAAATTAAAAGAAAATCCATTTGAAATAATGAAGCGCACAGTGCAATTAGCAATCAGAATCAGTACAAAGTTTGGATTGGGCCATCACGGGGGTGTGGATAGTGATTCATCACTTAAGACCAAAACGCCTGAATAAATGAAACGGTGCGTTTCATTATTCAGATCCTTCACAAATCAACTTCAAAACGCAGCCCTTGGATCAGCTTCTAGTCAACGGGTCAAAACAAGATCTGAGGGTGATAACTTCATCTCCTACCTCTGGCCATGGAAATGGAGGGAAGAACCAGAGTTCAAACATGGATCCTTCTCAATTCGAACTTCACCATATCTCCATCGAAACACATGATTTAAAGCACTAACATACTCTAAATTCCACACTGAACACAACCATGGTCTTAGAAATAATTGAAATATCCTCTAACCCTAAACACGATCGTGGATCAAAATTCTGGCCAAGAATCAATTGTCTCTAATCTTGAAATTGTTTGGTCTAAAACGTTCATCACATTACACTGATCAGTTTCCCCTATAGAATTCATATTATTGCTCACTATACACCAAGTTCTTGATCCAAACTGAAATGGTGTCATCATCTTGAACATAACCAAATGCTCTCAAATTCTCCAGAATCCATCTCCTAACCATTTCTAACCATTCTAACCTAACAATCTAACTTAACAATGCTTAAATTAAGGTGTATGGTGAAAGTTGCAAACCTGGGATTTCTTGAATAACAGATGCACCAAATCTTCACTTCAACACTTCAATCCTTCCAAAATCGTTCCTTGTATCAAGATATGGCTTCTGTTTGCAAAAGAATTGATGGAAGATGCTTGCAACTCTAAACCCGATAGTGACTTGCAGCAGATGGAACTCAAAAGCTCATGCACGATTCAGCCATGTTCTTGCTCTCAATTTGCTATGGAATCACTCAGTAACTCATAAGGAAGAGATTGCAATAGAAATAATCGATTGAAATGGTGCAGAAATGAAGAATGGATTTCAATTTGCAATGAACAAATTTAGAATCCCAACTCTCTCTCCTCCCTCAACTCTCACCAACCTCTTCCATGGACCTCTTCTAAATCATATATAGAATGATTCAGAACCCTCTAGCACCTTCTGGAACCATCCAAGGAGATTTTGAAAATCTCATGTCATGGTTTCTCATTTCAAGCCATACTCACACCAGTCCATGTTTCCCTTGTTGCAGCACTTAGTTCTGACTTGAAAATCTCCTTAGATGAGATGTATGATATGTTAGAATGCTTGCATAGCTTGTACATTGATCTCTCTTATGTTTTGCAAGTGTAACTTAGATTACAAGTAACTTATGATAAATCCCTCAATTTGACCTCAAATCAAAATTGTAATAATGCCATTGTTTCTGAAATGATTTTTCCATTCAATTTGGTAGGTCACTTGCATTGGTTTGGTCATGTATTGAAAATTCCCAAAAATAGGTCACTTTAATACATTAAATCCTCCTTTATTTTGACCATTTTGACAAGTATGAGCTAAAAGCATTTCCAACATATCATGACCTCCTTACTAGCCTTAAAACATCATTTTGAACAAGTTTGATGTTGAATATTTTTCCATTTGAAGCTTGGAAATAGGAGTTATGGCCTTATGGTTGAAATGACCTGTAATCTCCAAATGACCAAAATGCCCTTGACTTGTCAATGCCATAACTTGAGTTCTACAAATCCTATCAAGGACTTATAGTACTCTCTAGAAATATAAGAAGATGAGTAACAACATTCATGTTGACCAAAAGTTCATAGGAATCATCCTTCTTGGGCAAAAGTTTGATGCAAGTGGGGTAACTTTCAAGGCCCCAGATTCACATACCTCAGATGACCTGCAACTTGTCAAAGTCATAACTTGAGCTCTACAAATCCTATCAAGGACTTATAGTACTCAAATTGAAGCTAAGAGCATGCTCTACAACATTCATGTTGGGGGAAAGATGAGATGAAAATCACATCTTGAGCTAAACTCCCTTGAAGATAGGGGTCAAACTAGGGGATTTTACACTGTCAAGCCTTAGAAACCCTAGCTTGAAACTTCTCAAACTCTTCAATCATGATGAGTTGACCTTGGAATCATCCTTATAACATCTCAATGTATCAATCCATGATCACATGGCCTTTGTATTGGGTCTCAACCCTCTCCAAATCATCAGTTGACTTAGGGTTGACCCAGTCAAACCCTAATCACGCCACTCATGGCTGAGTCTTCTTAATCTTGCATAATGACCTGTCTAGGCTTCAAAGTGATCTTCAAAACTTCTCATGAGCTCTCTCAAGATCTCAAGTCCATCCTCATGACTTCAGAATCATCTGATGGCTTTCCACAACTTTTCAAGTTAGGAGGCACACACTCTTGGTTTCAACCACTCTCTCTGAGGATCTTTGAACTTCTCTGACAAGGATATCAACCCTTGAACACTTGAATAGCCTTCCTAGATAGCTTCAAACTCTTGTATAGCTCTTGATTGGTAGCCATACCTCTTGATCTCATGTATACATGTCAATGAAATGCAAATGATGATGCTAATGTGAATGAAATGCAACATAAGCTAGGTAAAGAAATGTCGGTCAAATTTTGGGGTGCAACAATCGGGATTAATGATTTTGAGTGAGAAGAGCTTATAGTAGCTAGAGCATCCGGTTGCGATCGGTCTCGTCTAGTAAGGATAATTTGTGTGTTATTAATTGTTGTGTGAATCCTAGTGTATGAATATGATTTTGAATCGTGGCCTTTGGGCAAATTATGCATTGTTTAGAATTGAATAAAAATGCATGGAAATTGTGATGAATGATGAATATAATACACATTGTGAGTGCATGATGATTGTACATGTTGATGTATGAAGAATGCATGATAATATATTTGCGAATATGTATGCAGTTTGTGTTGATTGATCCCGTGTAGGATCTGCAGAGACATCGTGTGCCCATGTGGGGTGTGAGCGATGCTCTATAACTGATTGAGTCATTTTGTATGAGAACCATGTATGAAATGGTGTGAAATAAATGATGAATATATATATATTTGCATTATGATATATATGTTGTGAATGCATAATAAATGTATGCAGTGAAATGTGATAGATGCATGAGTATGTTTGTAAACATGTATGCATTTTGTGATGATTGATCCCGCGTAGGATCTGCAGAAACCTCGTGTGCCCATGTGGGGTGTGAGAGATGGTTTATAGTTGATTGAGTCATGTTTGCATGTGAAGCATCACGGTATGCATTTGTGTTATTTGATCCCGTGTAGGATCTGCAGAACCTCGTGTGCCCATGTGGGGTGTGAGTGATGGTTATATTTGATCCCGTGTAGGATCTGCAGAGACATCGTGTGCCCATCACTACTACAAAAAAGCTATTTAATAGCGCTCTTTTTTCTTTTTGATAGCGCTTAAAAGCGCTATTAACCAAGCTGCTATTGTAAATAAACAATTTTGATAGCGCTATTAACCAAGCTGCTATTGTAAATAAACAATTTTGATAGCGCTTTAAAAGCGCTATTATAGTACTGGTAATTAATAGCGTTTTTCTAAAAGCGCTATTATAGTACCGGTATTTAATAGCACTTCATTATAAATGTTATCATTGCCCTATTCCGCGCTACCATACACCTTGTTTATGAAAGAATTTAATAGCATTTTTTGAAGAAGTGCTATTATAGTCCTTGTATTTAATAGCGCTTTTTGAAGAAGTGCTATTATAGTCCTTGTATTTAATAGATCTTTTTTTAGAAGTGCTATTATAGTCCTTGTATTTAATAGTGCTTTTTTTAGAAGTGCTATTATAGTCCTTATATTTAATAGCGCTTTTTCTAAAAGTGTTATTGTAGACACTATCTTTAATAGCACTTTCTAGAGAAGCGCTATTAATTCTCTTTATTTATTCTTTTAAGAAAATGATATTTTATAACTTAATACTACAATAAATTGGAGGATTGAGTAGCAAAATTCATAACAATGTCTGTCCAACAACTGACCATCCTATATCGGTAGATTTGCCCCTATAACCATGTAATACTCAATATCTAAACAAAACTATTTGAGAAAGTAACTAATCTAGTAGATATCAAACTAATCTACAACAATAGCAAAAGAAACTCTTTACATGATAAAGTCTACCCTACTAAAAGGTTAACACTGTCGGAGCAGATAGTACCCCATAACGCATAACATGAGAAACGGTGTCGTCGAGTTAGTATGGCAAATTTGTTACAGTGTTTCTCATTGTTGTTGCAGATGGATGTTATTACTATTGTTCCCAAAGCAAAGTTAAGTTGTTGTCGCGGAGTTAAAGGTGTTGCTATTGCAGCTTCCGTCGAGTCAGAATCAAGTGAGGTTATTTCCGGTGGTGGTGATTTGAAATGTGGTTTCCATTTGATAGTTGGGGATGCTGGAATTTGCAAGCGCGATAACAAACAACATTGGTTGCAGGTACGATGTCGATTCACTCGATTCCAATTCCAACTAAGAGGAAACTCACCGATATTTTTAGTCGTAATTGCCTCATCTCCAATTTGATTCGAGTGAACCTGCAAAAAGTCAGAACAAATTTGATTACTAAGTTCATTATATTCATGCAAATGAAGAAAAAGAATCGATTAAAATTTAAAAGAGATTTTTTATCTATAACAAGAAACGTAGAAATTAATTCAAAGCTTTGATGTGATTTTTTATCTAAATTACATTTGTGACATCATAACTCAAAAGGACAACTCACCTAACTGAACATGTTCTGGGGCTAAGGAGGAGAACTGTCCTGCACAGTGGGCATTTGTTCCCTAACAAATGAGAACAATAGTCAAACCTAACATAGAACATATGTTTTCCTATGGAAAATATAAACAATGTTAACTATCACTAACCACGATCCATTGATTGAAATAAACATGAACGGCAAAAAGAATGTCCACAGGGGGTTGTAACAGGTTCATACAGCAACTTCAGACAGAGAGTGCAATCAAAGTCATCATTGCAATCAGGTTGTACATAATTGATCCCAACACATAATTTCCACAAGAGCATTTCTGATTGCTAAAAATGCTCATACATAATTGATCCCAACACATGAAAACATTAGTGGAAGTGTCGTCAATGTTCAGTTTTACCATCTCGCAATAACCTCTCATTGAATTCCTTGGGTTGAGTAGCATTTCTTTGTAATTACGAGACCATAGATATTGTTCATTAAGATCTGATAAACTTCGATACAGTGAGCTAACGCTGCCAAATTTAACTGGTTTCATATTTGAGTCCTTAGCCACAAGTCTTGCAACAGTACCTAAAGGCATGGTTAAGAAGCTCAAGAGAGCTTCAACAAAATCCTTCCCAGCCTCCCCATACACAACTTTGTTCTTTTGTTTGTCCATCATAACTCTCAAGATAACTTTGTCACCAGGTTCAACTGATTCAGTTGCGGTGCCAGCTGCCATAGTATAGAAATCGCAAATTACAGTGAGACTAAGCAACTAGCAAGTAGAAAAACAATATTCCGCCCATAAAAACTTAGTTCCACCAGATACATAAAATAAACATCCATTCAAAATCAAACCAAGTCATAATCCAATCTATTAAAACACAGCAATTTCACAGATCAGAATTAATGAAATTCCACACACAACAAAAATCATGAATGAGTGATTATAAGAAAAAGAGAAACCTGAGATTGACATATCAATATAGGCGGAAGAAGACGGTGATAAATTTCCATCTTTGTGCCAAAACACATTCCACTAGAAACAAGTTATTTCACATAGAATAGTGTCGCTTCCGCGAAAATAAGGTGCCGGCAAAACAGAAGAGTCGCCACCTTTCGTTATTTATCCCTCAGAACGGGAAATGAAACGATCGGAGAAACCTGACGAAAAGGTATAAGACAAGGTCATCGCAACCGTTGTCTAGGTTCGGGAGTCGGTTACGCAAGGGGAAGGTATTAGCACCCCTCACGTCCATCGTACTCGATGGGATCCACACTTGTTGTGTTTACTGGACGGGTTGGTTTTATCTATCTACCTATCAAGGCTGGTCTGAAAAGAAAATAAAATGACTCGGCAAAGCGTCGCGCTTTATGCCTACGTATTCTCATCAGAGAATGAGAAATCAGAGTCAACGTAGTTCGACTAACTACGGGTTACGAGGAAGGTGGCTCGCCAATACGTCAATATTGTGCCTACGTACTCTCAACAGATATGAGAGATCAGAGCTTACGTAGTTCGGGATAATACGGATTATGGGAATTCAGATTCATCTATTTTATCGAGTAGGGTTAAACAACAGTTCCAGCAGTTAGGGACAAAGCCTGTTTGCGGTGGCGCTGAAGTTTAACGACACTCTTTTCTTCAGAAAAGCTTCCTTTGAATTATGGGCCCACAGGGCAAAAAGGTTTGAAGTTTGTTTTCTGTCTTTTACGGAAGAACTGTTTTTTATGGTTGTTTGCAACTAGTATCGCACTAGAGACTATGACCTGAGAGTGAATGTGTCGCATGTCACCCAAAGGGTGCCATACTAAACATCCAGACTGTTGAAAAGAAGCTCTCCAACAATCCTTTCTCAGATAGCTTAAGGCTCGTAACGCACGACGTCAGTTAACCTTTATTACTGTATTTTGAATTGTTTCGAGATGAGAAGAGAGAACGAACAAGTTCAACTAAGGGGAGACTATCAACTCCTAATGTTGTCATGCCAAGGATTCATCCTATGGTTAAGGTTTGAAACAGGGAACTCCTAGAAGTTATCATGCATAGGTTTCAACCTAAAGTTCTAATCATCACTTCTTTATCAAAGGAAGTGAGATTCCTAAGGGATCATGTCAATGATAGACATAAACAGATAAAGCATCAGCTTAAACAGTAAACAGTAAACGACTGTAAAATGCATGCAATGCAAGTGAGGGAGGAAATGTGTGTGGGGCATCAGCCTCCACAAGCTCATATCAACCTCAAGCCAGATATGAATAATTGCAATCATACAGAGGAAATAACATGCTATCAAGCAAACACAATAAGTGCAATCATACAGAAGAAATAACATGCTATCAAGCAAACACAAACCACATAGGCAAGGGAGCAGGGCTCTACCGAATACCAGCAAGCAAAGTCATACAGTAAAAATACAAGCAGAGGGAGCAACTCAACCTCTAGTGCAATCATGCTCCTAGCTTAAATAAATCTAGATATGAGCTTATTCTAATGCATCAAGCAAGTCAAACAAGGCACAACAATACAGAAAAGAAAACAGACAAGTAGATCAACCACTCCCACAGCTTCACAACAAAGCAATCTTCTGACAGCAGTTTAATCTTCAGTCTTCAATCACCCTTCAAGGCTATCATCTTCAATAACAAGTATCAACTTGCTTCTCCAAGGTTTCAACCCATCAAACATAAGTATCAACTTATTCTCTCCTCCTCAAGCCTCAGCTTTATAGTAAATCCCACCTTCAGGCTTTACTCCTAACTACAAGTATCAACTTGATTCCTTCAGGCTCTCAATGCATCAATGTAAGTGTCAACTTATCCTTTATTCCTCAAGCCTCAGCTCTTCACTCAATCTCAATTGGATCTTCTTCACAAGTATCAACTTGGTCTTCTAGCTTCAGCTCTCTTTGCTTTACCAGTATCACCTAGTTCCTCTCCATCTACAAGCTTCAGCTTCTCAAGGTAATCGTCAATCTAATTGGAAGTATCAACTTCATCCTTAAATCTTCTTCAAGCAAGGAACTCCATCCTCTAACAAGGGAGAAAGACTCATCTATCAAGAGCAAAGTTAGGATGATTGGTAGCAGAGTGAAGACCAAAGGTCACCACTGAGCATCCTGTCATCAGAGAAAGGGACCCTCAAAGGTTCTACCAATTTGCAAAGAGCCACACATCCTACCAAAGGAGGGATGAGGCCTTTACAAAGGGACCTTTCATCATAGGGAAGAATGGAAGTGATAAACATCATCCATGTTTATGAAGGAAGAGAACTATCTAGAAGCTCTGCCTACAAAACCCTAATCTTAACCTAATCAACACTACACCAAAAGAAGGGAAGATCTTCACATCCAAGCCTCCTCAAGCAATCCAATGCATCTTCAACTTGCCTCCATCATCATCCAAGAACAAGCAAAGCAAAACCCTAATCTAAGGGAACTAAAGAAGTTAATCTTGTTGAGTTAGTGCCTTAGAATCATCTAAAACTAGCACTTAAGCTAAAATCAATCAAAAATAGTAAACTATATTATAAATTTCTACAAAAATTCCTAAAGGATCTGTCGCTTGCGCGAAAATAAGGTGTCGGCACAACAGAAGAGTCGCCACCTTTCGTTATTTATCCCTCAGAGCGGGAAAGGAAACGATCGGAAAAACCTAACGAAAAAGGGTAAGACAAGGTCGTCGCAACTGTTGTCTGGATTCGGGAGTCGGTTACGCAAGGGGAAGGTATTAGCACCCCTCACGTCCATCGTACTCGATGGGTTCCTCACTTGTTGCGTTTACTTGGACGGGTTGGTTTTATTATATCTACCTATCAAGGCTGGCTTAAAAAGAAAAGAAAATGACTCGGCAAAGCGTCGCGCTTTATGCCTACGTATTCTCATCAGAGAACGAGAAATCAGAGTCAACGTAGTTCGACCTACGACGGGTTATGGGGGAAGGTAGCTCGCCAAGACATCACCATCTTGTGCCTACGTACTCTCAATAGGTATGAGAGATCAGAGCTCATGTAGTTCGGGAAACTACGGTTTATTTCCTATGTTTTACGAAAGAAGTGTTTTTTATTATGTTTGCGATTTCAATCGCACTAGAGACTATGACCTGAGAGTGAATGCGTCGCATGTCACCCAAAGGGTACCATACTAAACATCCAGACTGTGGAAAAGAAACTCTCCCACAATCCTTTCTCAGATAGCTTAAGGCTCGTAACGTACGAAAGAAATCATTCATAATTACTGTATCTTAAACTGTTTTGAGATGAGAAGAGAACAGGCCCAACTAGGAGGGAGACTATCAAGTCCTACTGTTGTCATGCCATGGATTCATCCTATGGTTGAGGTCTGAACAGGGAGCTCCTAGAAGTTGTCATGCATAGGTTTCAACCTAAAGTTCTATCATCAATTCCTTATCAAAGGAAATGAGAGTCCTAAGGGATCATGTCAATGATACACCAAAACAGACAAAGCATCAGCTTAACAGTAAAATGCATGCAATGCCAGTGAGGGAGGAAATGTGTGTGGGGCTTCAGCCTCCACAAGCTCATCTCAACCTCAAGCCAAAATGGATAACAATAATCATACTGAAATATAAACAACATGCTATCAAGCAAAATACAGTAAACTGCAATCATACAGAAAGAAATGAAATAAAATGCCATCAGGCAAACAAACCACATGGGCAAGGGAGCTGGGCTCTATCGAATACCCGCAAGCAAAGCCACACAGTAACAATACAAGCAGAGGGAGCAACTCAGTGCAATCATGCTCCTAGATTCTACCTAGTCTAGATATGAACTTATTCTAATGCATCAAGCAAGTCAAACAAAACACATCAATACAGCAAAAGAAAACAGAAGAAAGCATATCAACTCCTCTCTCAACTCCAAGCTTCAGCTCTTCCAACAGCAACTCAGTCTTCAGACTTCGATCACTCTTGACAAATATCAATTTGTTTTTCCAGGTTTCAACCCTTCAACATAAGTTTCAACTTATCTTCTCCCTTAAGCTTCAGCTTCTGGATCAGCTCCACCTTCAGGCTTCACTGTCAATCATAATTACCAACTTGGCTCCTTCAGGATCTCCAGGTATCAAAGTAAGTATCAACTTCCTTTGTTCTTCAAGCTTCAGCTCTTCAGAATCAATCTCAATCACTTAGAAGTGTCAACTTCATCCTTCAGTCTTTACTTCATCTTCAGGGGTCTTCAAGTATCAACTTGCTCTTGCTGCTCTTCAAGCTTGAGCTGGAATGGCAATACTCAAGGATTCATCCTCTTCAACACTCTTCATTGAAGTCTTCATCTTCAAACTCAAGCTCAACATCTCTCAAGATAATCAAACCAGAGGAAATCACTTACGGAATAAGCTGGGGATATTGAACTGCTTATTGACCACCAAAGGTGACCTATAAGGGTTCAACATCACAGGAATGGTTCCCTCAAAAGTTCTACTTCCTAGGTACATCACTTATCCCTCCAAAGGAGAGAGGTGTATACCATGGAAGGACTTTGAATCATAGGGAGGAATGGAGGTGAGAGATTCCATCCATGTTTAAGAAAGAAGTTAACTAAGTCTAAACTCTTCCTAATCCCTAACCCCAAAACAGTCAACAAAACAACATGATCAAGCTCTCAAGCTCCTCAATCAATCTTCAAGTCTTCTAGCAAGCTCCTCAATGCTCCACAAAGAGATACCAAGCCCACCAAGCCAAGGGAAAACTCCAAAGCAAAGCAACTAAAGCAAA